GAGAATGGTGTTGCTGGAACCTTGTTATTTTTTAACTCAGCTATAATAACTGAATGTTTTATATGACTTCAGGTTTCAAATTGCCACAGTTTCAGAGCTTATACAACATATTTTCCCATGGTCAGATGATTGTACAACACATCACCACTTTTAAGAGGGTCAGAAAATACATATAAAAGTATCACATCTAGTATCACAAAAACTAAATACCAAACTAGAGAACATTTTTCTGCCGCAAACTGAATAGACCTGTTTTAGAATGTGTTAGTTACACAGATTTTACCACATCGTTCCTTTGTTGTGGATTGAAAGACTTTCCTCTACGTATTATCTTGAGCCCTCACTAAATAACAGCTAATAGTGTTTCGTTTAGTGTTTAATTGATATTCATTAAGCACTTATAAGTCCTTATTCTACATGGCCTTCTTCAACATCTAACTAACTGACACTTTCTCATGTGGATTAGGGTTACGGCGAGGGTAATATGGATTTCATAAAACTTTTACTAATCCTGCGGTTAAAGTTGAAGTCATCATTCTAACAGTATGCAGGACTTAATGATTTTCCACTTTTGGTTATCCGAAGGCTTAAGCTACTGGTGCCGTGGCAGGTGCTGACTCCTCTGTCTATTCCTCCATGGTATAAAATCACATGCACATAGCAAATCTATGGATGTGTCTCTTTGTAACATCAATAAATGTCTTCTGTCTGTGACACAACCCCAGACCTCTGCATATTTTCTTCAGTTGGTGGAGGATGCGGGCAATGTCTGAAGAGCAAACATCGACAGTACAGAAGAATTATTTTCTTTTATTGTGTCACAGGCAGAAGACATGTTTTATTGATGTTAAAACGACAAGACCAAAGTTTTACAGAATGCTCAGGGCTTTATACAAGACAAAACAGACACGACTCTAAAAGTCAGCCGCGGCACCAATGGTCGACCATCAGATAACCAAAAAATCAAATAAGAACTTAATTAAATGCAAAATTAAAGTATCCACTTTTAACTTAAGATAGACATGGCCGAACAGGTATGGACCAGGATTAGGATGATGATAATACTAAAAAAAGGTTGTCTGGCCTGATGAGTTCTTCCTTTAGTGTCCCTGAGGTCAGTGAAGCGTCCCGTCATCCTTCTCCAGATGCTTTTGCTCTTGCTCAGGACCTTCCATGGAGGATTTTACTCATGAAGCATGTTTTGGTCGGTGGAGGAGACTGGTAGCCTGACTCTCGCCAGACCCTTCTAGTTCCGCCATGCTCCACCAGAGACGTTTCACTTCACAAACAAGGGTTTGGGATTGAGCGCATTGCAAACTCCTTCAGCAGATCAGAAAATAATCGGCCAATCAGGATCGCCGGTATTACGTTGGGTTTGCACCGCCTTCTCAAGCGTGTCTCAGGCGGCAGCGATAGCAATCCAAGATGGTGGGCATAAAAAGTCAGTGAATTTAAAAAAAAGTTTAAATATGAACAAATTAAAACACAGATGTGACTTTTAATGCAATATGAGACGAGATGTTGATGGTTCCATGTTGTTATATGTGTGTTTTAAGAGTCAAATGTTCGAGTAAAGTGTGTCTATGCATGTCTATGCAGCAGGGTTGCCAGGTTTCCGCAAACATTTTTTTTCCAAGCGACTTGTGGGTAATAAATAAACAGAAAGACAATAAACAGAATCATGATAGCCCAAGTTGATTACATTACGTTTTTATCCAAAAAAACATTGGGCATTCTTGCGAGTTTTCAGGCTGGAAAATATTGCAGGCATTTGTCACCCCATGGGAGTCGTGTAAGGCGACAGTAGCTCAGCACGACTCCCACTGATGTCTGCTGACGTTGTGTCCTTGGGCAAGAGACTTAACCCCACTTTGCCTGAAGCCCCCACTGGAAGATCAAGGCTCCTGTGGACTCACCACCTGCAGGAGGATCAGTGAGGGGCTGGTGCTGCAGCTGACTGTCACCCCCCCCGACCCAGAAATGGATTAGGGGAAAAAAATGGATGGATGGATGGATGGGAGCTGTGTGCTTCGATGTGAGTGGTTGAAGGAAGAAGTCATTCAAGATAACAGAAGTCATTCAAGATAACAGACAAGTGGTTTATCCAATCACATACGAGGATTTTGTTACAAGGCTCCTCCTTCTGAAATGTATCCGCTATGAAGCAGACCCAGACCCCGGTGTGAAGCTCAGCGAACTACAAGGGTCTTGCGAGAGTCAGGTTAGGAGACCGGTGCGCCCGCAGGAAACCCATGGCCTTCTCACTGTACGGCATGAGAGCTAACTACTCAACCAGCCTGCTGCCAGTCTGTGTCCCAGAATCATAACAGTAGCATTATGAGAAATGGCGAGGCCATGGAGATGCGTTTGTGTCGATTTGTACCAGTTGCTGAAATTAGCCAGGATAGAAATCTAACATTCTGAAAAACTACTTATCTGTTCTGTACAGGCAGAAGAACTGTATGTCCAGATCATTCTTGATTGTTTTTTAGAATATCAGAGTTGTTTTGGAGTGAGAAAGATAAAAGATTGTTGTCCATGATGGAGGTGACTTTGGCTAGCACCCTCCTGTCCCTCACCTCCTCCACAGAGTCCAGGGAGCAGCCCAGAGTGGAGCTGGCCCTCCAGACCAGCTTGTTCAGTCTGTTTCTGTCCCGCTCTGTGCTCCCCGGGGCCCAGCACACGGCAGCGTAGTAAATGGCAGAGGCTACCACAGAGTCATAAAAGGTCCTGAGCAGAGGCCTGCTCACTCCGAAGGACCTCAGCCTCCTCAGAAGGAAGAGGCGGCTTTGGCCCTTCTTGTGCAGAGCATTGGTGTTATGGGACCAGTCCAGTTTATTGTTGATGTGAACACCCAGATACTTGAAGCTGTCCACCAGCTCAATGTCCTCCCCCTGGATGTTCAGCAGCGTGTGGGAAAGCGGTTTTCTCCTGAAATCGATGATCATCTCCTTGGTCTTACTGGTATTCAAGCACAAGTGGTTGCGCTCACACCAGTCGACAAAGTCCTTGATAACCGACCGATGAAACTTGGGTTGTCCAGTATGACAATGATTCCGGCAATGAAGGAGTACCTCTGTGAGAAGCGTGTCAAGTTCCTGGAGTGACTTCGCCAGTATCCAGACCTCAAGCCAACTGAAAATTTGTGGACAGAGTTAATAGTTAAACCATTTCAGTTTATTTGCCAATTGCAATAAAACCACATTGGAATACATCTGCAAAAGTCCCCAGAGTGCACCAGACAAGTACATAAATAAAACAAGTTGAAATACACACGCATGTGTACCCACTCGCACGACACACACACACAACACACTGCGCACAACACACTACACACACACACACACACACACACACACACACACACACACACACACACACACACACACACACACACACACACACACACAACACACCGCACACTACACACAACACACACCTAATTGAAAAACGATGTAAATATGAAAATGTAATTGGGGTAAGCTCCCACAAGTATTTTACTTCGGCTTACTCCCTTTGAGCTGTGTCTACTTTTTCTTGAAATGTTTTCCTATTGGATTGTTTTTTGTTTTGTATGACCTGCTCAAATAAATTGATTGATTGATTGATTGAAATGAATAAGAAATAATCGTCACTATGAAATCAATCAACAAGTGATACAAGTGAAGAGCATTAAAGTGCTTTGTTCAAACTGATAACAGCTTGGAGAAAGAAGTTGTCAGCATATCCAAATATCCTGCAAGTCAGCGAACAATATCTTCTGCCAGAGGGAAGAAGCTGGATCATAGTTTTTTCCAGGGGCCAGAAGAGTCATTGATTATATTACGAATTTGATTTAAGAACCTCCAGAACAGACAGCTCACAGTCCTCTTTTAGACCTTGTTTAGAGCTCTCCTTTCTTTGACTGTGATGTTGCTGAACCATACAGTTACTGAACCAACAAATATTCCAGGTCCTAGAACAGGTATACAGTGTGATTTCCTAATTTTTTTTTGTCACATTACATCACTCACAGTTGAAGTGCACCTTTGATGAAAATGTACGTAAGAAATAGTAAAGTAGTTTTTTTATATGGCGCTTTTCACAGACCAGAGTCACAAAGTGCTTCAAAATTATTGTGGGAATTGGTCTCTCACGCCACACAGAGATGGGAGCAGGCCGTACAGGAAGCACATGCCAGACCTATTGTACATGTTTTTAGTGGTTGGAAAAACCGGAGCACCCGGAGGAAACCGTAGCAGACACGTGAAGAACATGCAAACCTGGGGATGGACTCGAACCCATTACCTTCTTGCTGTGAGGCACAAGCGCTAACCACTGCACCGTGCCGCCCATGACCACTCTCCATTTGAAGCGGATCAACTTACAGAATTCCAACTTGTTCCAACTGTACGTTTACAGTCACACAAATTAATGCTTGATTTGAGCGTATTATCACAAGCGTTTTTGAAGATTGGAATGTTTTTTTGAGGTTTTTTGATGTATCACAGTTTCCAGCAGTGTAATCCATCAGCGTTTACTCATCCACTCCCTTAGACCTTTGTTTCCGTTAGTATAGGTACATTTCTTATCCGGAGTGACACCAGCCAGCTTTTCAGTTGTAACATTATGCAACATGACTCTTTAAGATGTCACCGGGATTTAAAAATGACTTTATGATGTCATTGTTCAACAGATAGCGGCTCTATGAGAATCACTTCGATCTGTCTTCGCTCCTGACAAAGCCTGCATTTTTCACACAACAAAGCAAGCCGCGGCAAAGGGAATCCCCGTGCACCCGAGCAAAGACAATGTCAGACAAAAAAACATGGAAATGCTAATGAAACGTAGGTCTGCTGCCACCCACTGACACAGACGGGGCCCCTCCCAGCACCAGGGCCCTGCGGAGTGGAAGGCAGCACCCAAGTCAGCCCACGCAGCCAAAAGTCACACGCGCACAAAAGCTACAAAGGCCATCTGCGCCAGGCGGCTACGCTACATCCACGCACAATGGCCCCCCGTTAGCTTGACCCGCTCTGCTCTGGGCCATCTGCTGCTGGGGGACCGTGAGTGGGAGAAGGGTCCGTCCCAACTTTGGTCCCTGCAGAGATCCAGTAGCCTAGCTCACATTGCAGAAATAAAAATAATCAATTTCTTTCAGTTCTTTGCTGTAAGAATAATCTGAAAACTAAAGTTCAATTTAGTTTAAGACATATTTTCTTTATTTACAAAACTTCATATAAATATAAGTCATATATATTGTAATAAGTTTGTTGGTGCTTTGTGAAAGGGAAGTCCCAGGTTGCATTAGCTTATAGGCGGGCTCCATAAACAATACAAGCAAACAAAAGCATACATACTGTATATATCTAAATAGATATATCATATTGATGTAGGTAAAATGTAGGTTATCATTGTTGAGAAGCCAGGTTGCCATAGGATGTGTAGGAAACTCATATACAGTAGCATCCTCTTACGTTGGTCTAAGGGTTGACATAATGTTTAATAATGAATCATGTTGCTTCTTTCAGGGGGTTGTAGAATAGTTTATATCAGTGACATTGTGGCTCCACATATGACATCATAAATATTCAAATGTTACATTTTAGTCTTTACCATTGACAGTGTCCATGGCTAAGATGTTAGCTCTGAAGCCATCCCACAGTTCTGAAGGATTTAGAAATTTCAATTAAATTATATTCAATTTATTTTGTACTGCCCTAAATCACAACAGTCGTCATCTAGGATGACGTTACACAATCGTCTATTCTCCAACAAAGAGGCGTAGTTGTAAAAGTTCCATGCATTACAGAAAAAATGAGTAGATAGAAGATCATTTGTACTTCTTTGCCCCGTCCTTTACAGCACGGATAGAAATGGTAGTCACATCAAACTTATAGACATAGTAGAATTCTCCACAGCTGAGGGCGAGGCCAGAGACTACAACGTGTATCTGATCATCGCCCCTGCCAGGAGAGCTGAGGAGCTGTCCGCCTATGGATTTGCCCATGCTAGGGTAAGCCCCCCAGTCCTCAAGGCTGGAGTGAGTGAGCAATAGAGCCAAGAAAGACTTGGCCCGTAGATCGACCAACAGACCCGAGAAAAGCTGCCCGTAAGTGGAGTGCAACACTTAGGAAGAATAGGGACTCCCAGTATACTATCCCTACTAGGAAGTCAGGGGACTCCCATGGCCCCATCCCTACTAGAAGTCCAAGAGTCCACCGTCAGGCTCCCGCTAGAAGGCCATGGAACTTTGAAAGAGAGGTTTCAGTCGTCCTGCAAATGCCTAGGTTGAACGAGGAACTTAACTTTAACTTTCAAGGTCTGGTGCCATCACCACCACCGTCCCCTGAATCTCTGAGCCCATCACCCTGGTGTGCTCCAATAAAAAATGATATATTCCTCTCCGATGCAGCTGTGGCCCTACCCGAACCCGAGGCTATGGTCGTGACGGCACTTTGTCAGGGAGTTCAACAAGCTCCTGGAAGAAGAGTACCAACCGGGAGCTGTGCCGGAACCTGAAGCTTGCCACGAGAGCGAAGCTACTCAAGGATTCGAGGTGATGGACTTTACTTAGTTTTCTTAAGTTTCAAAAGGAGGATGTAATACAAAAAAAACATTTTATAATTATATATGAAACATAAGAAAAATGCATTAAACAGATTCTGACTGTCAGTCATGTGATTTAACAACATTTTATGCGATTTATGTGACATTATGCTAACTGGGTTAAAGGTCATGCTTACTGTGCCAAAGGTCATTTCACTGGGTCAAGGTTCATACAATGGAAGGGCCAAATATGTACTTCCTTCCTGTGACCATATACTGTATGTACTTCCTTGCTACTATGGCCAAATAATGGCTTCCTTCCCTGCCCATATATGTACATGCACTTCCTGAATGAAGTCATCCTTATGCCTCTGGACTTTCCCCGCGTGTGAACTTTTCCCGTGTGTGAACTTTTCCCGTGTGTGAACTTTTCCCGTGTGTGCACTTTCCCCGCCTATAAAAAGGGAGACTCAGAGGGAGACTGGGTTCAGCACTACCTGAGTGCTAACAACAAAGCCATACAGTGAAGGAGAGTTTGTCAAACCTTTCTTACAGGCTGTAGACTGTGTCTTGAGAAACCACACGCTTTTACCAACATCAGCCTGTCCAGGTGCAGCAGGAAGGATTTCAGAACTAGCTACAAATTGAAGTCGTGTGTGAAATTTTCTGTTGCCGTTGGTAAGAAACTGATGTTATTGATGTCGCACATTCATTCAGGTGGTACTGAAACTTCACAGAGGAGATGTTAGTGTTGGTGCTTTGTTGAATATCACAACATTTGAGGACACTATCAGCGCTGTTGTTGGTGCTCCTGTTGGTGCTGGTGCTGTTGTTGGTGCTGGTGCTGGTGTTGGTGCTGTTGTTGGTGCTGGTGCTGTTGTTGGTGCTGGTGCTGTTGCTGGTGCTGGTGTTGGTGCTGGTGCTGTTGTTGGTGCTGGTGCTGTTATTGGTGCTGGTGTTGGTGCTCCTGTTGGTGCTGGTGCTGTTGTTGGTGCTGGTGCTGTTGTTGGTGCTGGTGCTGTTGTTGGTGCTGGTGCTGTTGTTGGTGCTGGTGCTGTTGTTGGTGCTGTTGTTGGTGCTGTTGTTGGTGCTGGTGCTGTTGTTGGTGCTGTTGTTGGTGCTGGTGCTGTTGTTGGTGCTGGTGCTGTTGTTGGTGCTGTTGTTGGTGCTGGTGCTGTTGTTGGTGCTGGTGCTGTTGTTGGTGCTGGTGCTGTTGTTGGTGCTGTTGTTGGTGCTGGTGTTGGTGCTCCTGTTGGTGCTGGTGCTGTTGTTGGTGCTGGTGCTGTTGTTGGTGCTGGTGCTGTTGTTGGTGCTGGTGCTGTTGCTGGTGCTGTTGTTGGTGCTGGTGCTGTTGTTGGTGCTGTTGTTGGTGCTGGTGCTGTTGTTGGTGCTGGTGCTGTTGTTGGTGCTGTTGTTGGTGCTGGTGCTGTTGTTGGTGCTGGTGCTGTTGTTGGTGCTGGTGCTGTTGTTGGTGCTGTTGTTGGTGCTGTTGTTGGTGCTGGTGCTGTTGCTGGTGCTGTTGTTGGTGCTAGGGCGTTGGACAGAGCAGTGTGGACTGGTCCTACGCTCTCAGCCTGGTACTGATGATAAAGGCAGATAATTTTTGGACATTTGACTGTGTTTTACACAGAGACACTGCAGTCGTTGAGAATGGATCACGTTGTTTCGTTCATTTCAACTGAATCATGGTCAGTTTGATGCTTTCTCTGACAATAACATAACCATGGATTTCCTTCCCATTCTGAAGTAAGATGGTTAAGCTGAGATGCTGTGTTTAAGTGCTTTTTTTCTATCTACCTACTGTACCTTTGTTGAACTACCTAGAGTACCTTTGTTAAACTACCTACTGTACCTTTGTTAATCTACCTACTGTACCTTTGTTAAACTACCTACTGTACCTTTGTTAATCTACCTACTGTACCTTTGTTAATCTACCTACTGTACCTTTGTTAAACTACCTACTGTACCTTTGTTAAACTACCTACTGTACCTTTGTTAAACTACCTACTGTACCTTTGTCTAACTTCCTACTGTACTTTTGTACCTTTGTGAGCAAGTTTTCTCTGTAATGAGCCCTAATTAAACAAAGCTGCACTCAAAGCTAACACACAAATATTAATATAACAATTGTGAAATTCCATTTACAATGTAATCTTGTAAATACTTACATTATTTGCACTATGAATAACTCACTGTTACATTTGAGTTAGCAACATATTTCATGCAGCAAAAACCAAATAGTCTTCCTGAAAATGTGAGACAGGCTTCTTAGAATTGTTGCAAAACACATACTGTATTTATTCCTTTTGTTGCCTCATTAATACATTTTATTTAAAGTAAGGATAGGGATCATGATTGCCACGGTAACCGAACCTCCAGCATTCCAGAACTAAAGGAATGTAGCTGTTGTCACGGGAACATGACATAATGTTCTAAATGACGTAATCAAAGATTCGAAGTTTACAGTGGGAATGTTTGAGCGTGGACACAGTCCCAGACAAGAATTCATACGTTGGAGTAAAAAAGAGAGTACGAACCGAGGATTTAACCCCGATAAACAGAACTGAGCAAAATGGCGTGCTTCAGAAGAAGATCTAAAAAGGACAAGCTTATAGAAAAGCTTGAACACTACGTGATGGAGTTGGAGGAACAACACCTGAGTGTGGTAGAGGATCTGAAGAGGGAGAAACAACAGAAGGGCGAGCTGGAGAAGACTCAACAGGAAGAGAGTCGACTAGAGCAGCAGCAAGTGAGTCAGCTCCAGTCTGCCTTAGAGGCGGCTATACGGCAGGCTTCAGAGAGCTCCACTACTGCCCAACGCCAACAGGAGACTACTGTTCAGGAGAAAACAGTTCTCCAAGAGACTCTGAGTGAAAGGACAGGACAACTGCAGAAGGCTCACGAGGAGATTCAGGACTTGAAAGACGCAAATGCAGAAAAAGCCAGGCGGTATATGTCAATCGTCACCGAGCACCAAGACGAGAAACAGGAGATTTTTGACAGAAACCAGGAGGCAATGGACTTGTTGAACGCTCAAATACTGGATGCCAACAGCACCATAGACAAGCTGAAGACCCAGATGCAGGAGCAAGAGACAAAACTGGGGACAGAAGCTGCTCAGTTAAAGACAATGCTGGCCAAGACCAAGAAAGAGCTAGAGGAGTACAGTGCAAATGTCGTCATGAAAAACTGTGTCATTGCTGCAATGGAGGCCGAAAACGTCAAAGTCAAAGCTGAGAATACAAAGCTTCAGACTATCAGCAAACTGATTGAAAATGAGAAAGAGAAGGTCAAGGAGCAGCTGGCCAAGACCCAGAAAAAGTTGAAGGAGTATAGCGCAGATTTCCTCAGGAAGAACTCTATCATTGCCGCGATGGAGGCAGAAAACGCCAAAGTCAAAGCAGAGAACAGTAAGCTCAAGACAAGAATTCTCGATCTGGAAACTCAGCTGAAAAACTTACACGCTGCGTCAGAGAAAAGACCTCTCGTGGCACGGAATAAGTCCATGAAGGAGGTGGAAGAGGCTGTGAAGGAGGCCAGGAGGACCTCAGATCAGACAATCCAAGAGCTGCAGAAGAAGATTGAATTCAAAGACAAGGCAATCAGCAAACTTAAAGAAATCAAGCAGAAGGAGAAGGAGCAGCTGGCCAGAACCCAGAAAAGGTTGATAGAGTGTCGCACCAACTCCGACCAGAAAAGCTCTTTTATTGCCCAGATGGAGGCGTACATCGCAGAACTCAAAGCTGAGAATAGACAGTTGTCGGGGCAAAGTGATGTCTGCGATGAAGAGGAGTATGAGGAGTATGAGGAGTATGAAGATAACCACGAGACCACAGAAGAGTGGGGGGAAGAATATACAGAGACTGAAAACAATTAAGCAAAGCCATCTGTAAGAGATCCAGAGCTGAAGATCATCCTTGGAATCATCTGAAGAGGAAAGAAGAAAGTTAGAGAGTGTGGCAAGAGAGATGAGAACAATTATTGGGAGCTGACAGCACTGATTGAAGGAAAGAAGAAGCAAGAGAAAAGCATCAAAAACAGGAGGAAAACCCATGTAGGCTTAAAAGGGACCTGGATGAATCAGCCAAAAAGCACATTCAAGATCGTGAGTTATTACACCATCAAATCTAGGAGGCAAAGACAGATGAAGCTGTGAAGATAAAACACCTTGAGGCTAAAATTATGGAACTGCAGCTGAAAGATGTACACGCCTCTGAACAGGACAAAGACTTGCCCAGGTGTTAATAAGACACCAATAACCCAAAAAAAAAAATTCCCCAAAACGACAACGTAGATTCAAGGTCACTTCCACTTCAACAAAGAGATTCAAAAGATCTCAATATCACAGGGAACAGCAACATTTGGCCGACCTTCGAAATAAAAAATTACTAAAACCGGTAGATTCAGCTGACAACTAGCACATATTGGGCCTGGTCTCCTCGTGTGAGGCCTGGGCACCGCTTTGATGGGAGACCTGATATTCCCACCAGGTGCTACAGTGGGGCCGCTGTAAACTCGTCGTTTTGTCCTTGGGCAAGGCACTTCACCCACTTTGCCATGTGTGAATGTTGTGCGTGTGTGAATGGCAGGTGGTGGTAGGAGGGGCCTCTTTGGCAGCCTCACTTGCAGCAGATTGCCCCAGGGCAGCTGTGGCGAGTAGCTCACCACCACCGCGTATGGAATGAATGATTAGTGTGGCAAAATGCATGAAATAGGAGGTAGAAGTAGCACTTTGGTGTCATGACCGACACTTTATAAATGCAACAGAATCGCTAACAATGGCTACAAAATTAGTTTTCTTGCCATTGAAAGGATCTGGCTCCAGAGACTTGAGTTTGGTCGCCGTTGATCTTGAGATGTTAAGACGAAACAGGAATAGACTTTAAACAGAAGTGGAAGTTGTCTTGAAAATGGTCTACAATAGTCATCCCCCACCCCCACCCCCTCAGCAATACAAAAAAACGAAATAAAAGTAAATAAAGACATCCAACGTGTGGTTTGTGGTATATTTGAAAGTCAACCAACACAAACTGAGTGTGTGTCTGGATAAAGAACTGATTGTGATTCAGTTTATTTGTGATTTAAAGTTTTGTGCAAATCAGACTTTGTATGTGCAAACGGGAACAAATTTAATATTGTCAAAAACGGCCAAAAAAACCTCACATTTTGCCGCTCCGCTGCTCAAACAACGTTTCACTGATCAAAAATCCCTTTGGTCATTTTGAAAGTACATGTGTTGAGATGATGTGGAGCGATTTTGAGGCAAATCGGTGAAACGGCCGAGGAGGAGAAGATTTCCAACCGACATGCATGAAAATTATTGCTATTCATTTTTCCATTTTGCAGTGAAATTTATGGGCTTCCTGTTTGTCAGAGGGCGGGGCCATAATAACATTTTTTTCATATCTTGATTTGAGGAACATGTGTACTGAATTTCATAGCTCTACAAGAAACTTGACCTCTGAAACTCCCATTGGCTATTGTAGGTGGCGCTTTCCTGGCATTTTTTTTGTCCCATAAAAAAACAAAATATCAAATTTTTCACCAGGTCTGATGTTTGGGCAACATTTTACAACTTTTCATGTATGTTCAGGGGGTCTAATTAAGGCTCAAAGTGCAGAATATGACATCTCTCGAGTAAAAACAATAGCATTTCTGCTGGATCTGCTTGGTTGGGACAATGTATCCTCTTTACTCTGGTCTGGATCAGTGTAAATCCATGAACACTTTACTGTAGTAACATTTACAGCAAAATAACAATTGTAACAACCTGTTTCAGAGCTTACGTGCTGCCGTTACCAGCGCATTCAAAAGTAATATTTCTCAGTTTAGTCCATGCTGCATCAACTGTAATACATAGGTCCTGGATAAAAACTGAAATAGTGTATTAACTGTATAATATTTCCTTTGCTAATAACAGAGTAAAGATGAGGAGGTGGTAAAGGAGTGAGAAGCTTTCACACAGACCCACAGCTGACGGAGGCACATGACTGGGCTTTCCTCCGGCATGGCCAGTATTCCGACCCGCTCCCATGCATGTCACGCTCTGCAGCACAGAGAAGCAGAGGGAATGTGAGCCGTGGAGAATGCACACCGATATATTTACCATAAACAAAACACATACCCACGGGACACACATTTCATTCATAATACATCCTGACAAGTAATTTTGTTTTATTACAACTGACCCGGCTGACCCAGACTCACAAATTATGATCTTGTCTTTTACCTTTTGCTGCTAACATGTACAGATGTATACATACAACCATATATTTAGTGCAATAGAATATACAGTGTTTTTTACTTGCATCACTTTTCTGTTAAAGTTAGAGATTTTTACTTGCTTTTGTATTATTCTAAAGTCGTATATTATTTAAAATGTTAGTATAGAGTTATTGTTCACTATCTTGTCACTTATTTTGGGTTCAAATCCCAGTCGGAAAAGGGCGGAGTGGAGTTTGCATGTCCTCCCCCCTGATCTGCATAGGTTTCCTCCAGGTACTCCGGTTTCCCACACCACTAAAACATGCACAATAGGCATTCCAGCTCTGGTCCTGACCAAGCCGAGCATCAACATCGGGAGATGTTCCCCGGGCGCTGTTACTATGGCGACCACTGCTCTTGACAGACGCCCCAGTGGCAGTGAAGGATGGGTCAAATGCAGAGGACATATTTCCCTACGGGGATAATAAAGGAAAACTTATGTATGTCTCTGTTCTTCTTTATTTTGGTCATCATCGGACAGGCCCTCAGCTCTTTTCCTAAGTGTAGAAGGCCGGCTGCAGAGGGCTGGGGGTCTCGTTTAAACAGAAGGGAGGGGGCGGACATGTTTGTGCCAACTTATGTCAGAAGTTCCTGATAAAATAATGCATAGTTTTTGTTTAGACTTTTTTAGACGCATCACATTCACGTCATTATTCATTCACTCCATACACAGTGGCAATAAACTACTAATGTAGTCACAGCTGCCTTGGGGCACACTGACACAAGCGAGGCAACCAGTATGTGCCATCAGCCCCTCCGACCACCAACCATTCACTCACACACCAGACTCATTCTATTGTGGGTGAAGTGTCTTGCCTACGGACACAAAGACAGTTTGCAGCCGCAGCCGCCCCACTGTGGCACCTGGTGTTCCCAGAGGTCTCCCATCACAGTACTAACCAGAACCTGCTTTGCACAGCTCCAAAGGTCTGATGGCATTTGGCTTTTGCATTCTAGTATGGCCACAACATGACTTTGGCGTACATGGATCTAAAACAGTGTGTGATGGTGATTCAGCGCTGCAGTAAACCAACACCGAGTTTATCACTGAAGTCTGTGACAGGCTCGGACTCACTGCGCACTGGCAGACGGGCGTCACCGCTAATGCACCGCTAATCACCACGTTTGTTCTGATACAGAGCGCTGCCGACAGAGCGAGACAGACAGGGACAAGTGCACAGGGGACCGGCGTGTGGAGAGAGCCCCGCTGATGGACACTGGGATAAAGAGGGACACGGCGACGGGACGGGGAGTGTGTGTGAGAGAGAGCGTCGCTGACAGACGGCTGTCGTGGAGCACTGATTAATGAAGCTGTCTGTCAGACGGCACCGAGACAGGCCACAGCCGCCCCCAGCCGCCCCCAGCTTTGCAGCGACACTGTTTTCCCATTTCCCCAAAGAAGAGTATGGGACATGGCTGCGTACAATATGGACTCTGTAGCCTATTCTTCCCATTAATTTTGAATCAACTTGAAGCTTGAATCTGAAATCTATCTCTTTGGGGCATCTCACTTGGTATTAAGCACTTTTACCATCAAACTGCATCGCAATCATTTGGTCAAAAGGCTTTTAATGAAGAAAAAAAAAACTAGGGGTTCAGAATAAAACCAAAAAAAACATAAAAACGAATTATTTGTGTTCTCAATGCTCCTACATCTTTGAACCCCCTCAAAAATATGACATTGCTTTCATCAAGAAGGGGACATTAAAGTGAGACACAAAGAGACTTGGTCTTTGTTCTATGAAGCTTTTTATTATTAGCTTTAAAGCCTGAGTGAGGTCTTGTCTGGTCCTAGTCTCTCTTGCAAAAGTCTGGTTTTCACAGAGAAGGATGGAGACGGGCAGGTTCGAATCCCGAGTCTTTCTGAGTGGAGTTTCCTTCGGGTGCTCCAGTATTTTTTCTACCACCAAAAACATGCACAATAGATACAATCCTCTAGCTCTGGTCCTGACCAAGCTGAGCATCAACATCTGGAGAAGGTCCTGGGATCTGTACTATGGCGATCACTGCTGACTCCTGACAGACGCTCTCGTGTTATCAGGGTTGGGCGTGCGCTGTATTTATCCGTTTATACTTTATAGGCCTCCAACACTAAACAAACACATAGATTTCGGAAAACATGACTGGAATCAACATATGGTTTGTTAATACCCAAACTCCAATAAACAAAAACTACAGATGCAGACATAAAATAGCTAATGCAATAGTACAGCAACTGTTCTTGTGAGTGTGAAAGTGATTTGTCAAGAAACAGTTTTTTAGATATTGTTTAGCAAGCAATAATATTTAAACATTCACACTTGCTCTTCTTGTGCGCAAAGTATAGTGCAAACTGTGCATTCATACAATGCTGCACAAAAACGAGGTCATATGTTATGCACAAAACTTTAAAATCCACAGTGACCAAACAAACCTGGTTCGAAAGATTCACTCCTCAGCATCGAAACTTAAAACGTTGAGGTGTCTTTTGAACCAGGCTCTAAAGGTGTTGATGACTCGGGGACATTTGCCTTTGGGTGCCACAGTGTGTTTCAAGTTCCAGAGTCAGAGCCAGAAGCATCACATCAGAATGCTGCCAGCCCGCCTCCACGTGTGTGAGATGAGGTCTTGTGCTGCGAGACTATCCAGTCTCCTAGTTTACTTGTTTATTGTACTGTAGATCCCCATGAGCACAGGCAAGTTGACACTATTCTTCCTGCTGTCCAATAAAAAAAGCCTTAGTTTGAAATACAGTAATATAGAATTAACATTTTCTGCTGTCATAACAAAAGTCAGTTCGGTCAGTAATCATCAACAACCCAAATACCAATGCATCCATAGCAAACTAGATTTCATTACCAAACGCCACTATACTACAATGGCAAGGCAAGGCAAGGCAAGTTTATTTGTATAGCACAATTCATACACAAGGCAATTCAAAGTGCTGAACAAAACAAGAAAGCATTCAAATCATAAATAATCTCAGTACATTAAAAAGAAAGATAAAAAATATAAAACATAAAATCCCTCAGTTGTATGCACGGCTAAACAGGACCGTTTTTAACCTGGTTTTAAACATTGTCAGAGAGGAGGCCTGTCTCACATCTTCAGGGAGATTGTTACAGATTTTAGCAGCATGGATCTGAAAAGCAGCCTCCCCATGTTTAGTTCTGACTCTGGAGCAGGAGTCCAGTCCCTGTGCTCCTCAGAGTCCGGGCTGACAATGCCATATTACATCCTTGAATGTTTTGCTCTTCTTCTCTCACTCTCTCTGAGTCCTGGATCTGCAGCTCGTCCGTTCATGGGAGCAGATCTCTCCCTCAATGGGAACTTGAGATTGACAAGTAAACAATGTTGTAGTCAATTGACAAAGCAACAATAAATCTCGGTTTGAGACATATTTTCTCTTTGGCTGCAGGCATCAGGAGATGGTTTTATTATAATTTTATTTGTGTTTTGTTTTTTCTTCGCTGAAAGGATTCAATTTTTGACCCTGAAGACATGCATGTTTGCACATGGGGGTCTAATGCAATTGGTTTGGCAAAAAAATCCTAAAATGAACATTTTGAGTTTGTTCAACTCGTCCTTGGTTATTCATCACACAGACTATCATGTCACTTCTAAATCTGGACGGATTGGAGTTATATAATCCCTTCAAAAAAGTTAGAATTGCATCACTGTTTTCATTAGCCTGACTCTCGCCAGACCCATGTAGTTCGCTGCACTTCACACATGAGTCTGGTACAGAGCCATAGTGGTTGGATTTCAGAAGGCAGGGCCTTGTAAAAAAAATCCTTGTATGTGATTGGATAGACCACTTGTCTGTTATCTTGAATGAAGTCTGCTTTCAACCACTCACATCGAAGCACACGGCCTCCATAGGTTGCCAAATCCCAGCAAGATTTTCCAACCCAAAATCCGCGAGAATACCCAAAAAATAAACTGAACCAGTGCTTCAACCAAACTTTACAGGAACATTTGACTCTTAAAACACACATATATCAACATAGAACCATCAACATCTCGCCTCAAATTGCATTAAAAGTGACATCCGTGTCTTAATTCGATTGTAATTACGCTTTTAAAAAGATTCGCGGACTTTGCTGCATGAGAGAAGCTTGAGAAGGCAGTGCAAACCCCACGTAACACCGGCAATCCTGATTGGTCGATTACAAAATAATCTGGGGAAGGCTTCGCTATGGCGTCGATACCAGACCCATGTGGTTCAGCCAAACGCCTCTGGTGGAGCATGGCGGAACTACAAGGGTCTGGCAGAGCCAGGCTATGTTTTCATGCCAGGCAGCAGTGAATTTAATATGGTTTTATGATCTTAGGGCCGCAAAAGCCGACCTGACCACTAGTGGGGCACTCCATTCTGAATAAACACCATTCTGAAATTGCTGAATTTCTGTCCCTAATGATAGCAGAGTAGTTAAATTCTGCGCTGTGACTGACACTTTTCTGTTGGGGTTAGTTGTTTGGGGTGCACTGGATCTTTTTTGTGTGTGGTCGCGAGAACGGCGAGGGCTTTGATTGCCGCTTGCGTCTTTAATTGTATACAATTAATTATTATTATCTTTATATACAATAGCAAGTATACAATCTCTAACTTTAGCTTGATAAAGAAACAGGTTTAAATGTTCTAACTATAGCATGATAAATTGGCCCTTGAGAGGAATCAGCACCATAAGTCAAACATCTTTATGCAGACCTGTCCACTGCCACAGAACCCATCCACAGCTGAAAAATGATTCTTGGTCGACTCTATTTCACTCAGCCACTGAAGAGAGATCGT